CATCCTGTAATCCCGCACCTTGGGAGGCTGAGGTGAGTGGATTGCCTGAGCCCGCGGGTTCGAGACCTGCCTGGGCAACTTGGCAAGACCTCATCTCTACAATAAATCAAAAATTAGCCGGGCGTGGCAGCGTGTGCCTGTAATTCTGGCTACTCGAAAGGCTGAGGCGGAAGGATCGCCGGAGCCCAGCGGGTCGAGGCTGCGGTGGCCGGGAGGGGCCGCTGCACTCCAGTCTGGGCGACAGAGTGAGACTCCAACTCAAAAAAGAAAGAAAATCCATCCCAAGCAGAGATGTGCTAACATTTTGGAGAGCTGTGTGGAGTGTGGACGAGAACTCTGCTCCATATTCCTCCTCCCCAAAATAAAACAAAACAAAATAAAAACAAAACAAAATAAAAAGGAAACCAACCAAGAAGCACCACTCTAAACCCTGCAGGAACAAAGTCTCCTACCTGGGCTTCTGCAAACAAAACGGCCGAGGTACTGAGGCAGCGGGGGCCGGGGGCGGCGAGGAGGACGTAGTGCGGGCGACCGCAGCACGGGATGACCGGGACCAGGAGCCCCGCGGCCGGCGGTTTCCGGGGCCACCGCGAGGACTCTGCGACGCTGTGGAACTGAGCAGGTAAAGCAGGATGGAGCCCCTTTGCCGGGAGGAGTCCCAGCGTGGGGGCCCAGGGCATTCACGACGCTCGCTCCTCCAGAGGCGAGGACACTGCCGCTCTCCGCGTGCAGGCGGCTGGCCCGGACACACGCAGCTAGCGCGAGCAGAGCGGAGCTCCAGCCCGGGCTCTCCGCATCTCGGTTGCCGCAGACCCACGCCGGGGCCCAGGGGACCAGGCTGAGTTGCCCTCGGAGGGGCGAGGCCGGGTCTCCGGAACCGACAGAGAAACGGCGCAGCCGAGCCCGCGGAGCCGGAGGAGTGACCCTCCTGCGTCCTCACGCGACCCGAGGTCATGACACACTCAGGTCCCGGTGAGCCAGCCAGAGCCCACTCGTGCCCCCAGGAAGAAGTGCCCTTGGGCTCGGGTCTCAGGGTCACGGCAGCATCCCTGCGTTTAGCCCCAGGGTACCCTTACCTGCCGCCCGGGCCGTAGCAGGCGCAGAAGCCCCCGGCGGCCGCACACCAGCCCCATCGCCATCTTGCCCGGAAGAGGTTGTGCATTCGCGCGTGCGCACTCGGAGCCGCAGCCCCGCGGGGGGAGGCCCTTTTGGAAGTGGGCCTGAAGCCGGAGCGGTCACCGCGGAGCTGACGGCAAAGGAGGATGGAGTTTGGCGGCCATATTTGAAGTGGGTGAGAAGACGCAAAGGGCCACGTGACTAAGATCGCGGAGAGGGTGTTTTGTGGAGCTTGCCAGGAGGTTGAATTTAAGAGCCGGGCTAGCTGCCATCGTTAGTGACGGCGTAAACCTGGGGGATTTTCTTCCGTCTCCTAAAGCCGCGATTGTCCTCGGACTTGTTGGGTGAAAAGTAGTCTCAGGGCCGGGCGCGATGGCTCACGCTTATAATCCCAGCACTTTGGGAGGCCGAGGTGAGAGGATTGCCTGAGCCCTTGGGTTCGAGATGAGCCTGGGCAACTTGGCGAGCCCTTCTCTCTACAGTTAAAAAAGAAAACAAAACAAAAACTAGCCGGGCATGGTGGCGCGTGCCTGTAGTTCCGGCTACTTGGAAGGCAGAGGCGGAAGGATCGCCTGAGCCCAGCAGCTCGAGGCTGCGGTGGCCAGGGGCGTGCCCCTGCACTCCAGCCTGGGTACAGAGGGAGACATCAACTTAAAAAAGAAAAAAAAGTCTCAGGACAGTGTTAGCTGTGCTTGGTATTGCTCAGGGATGTTCGATTGTTATTGCTATATTAATCGCAGATGCCATGAAATTTGAGAGTAGAATAGTGTCTGACAGAAATGAAGGCTGCTTCTGGGAAATCTTTTCCTCCGAGATAAAAAGACAAAGATTCAAGAGGAGATTCCCCCTTATTATTTCCTCATGCGGGGTTGTGTGAGGACTGTGACCTAGTAAAGGACAAGTCTAAAGATGAAAAACTAACATGCTGAAGATGGTTGAATGGGAAGATGGAAAAAAACCTGAATGTTTGATGATGTTATTGAATGACTGTACCAAGCTTGGAGTCACCCAGGGGTCCTCAAACTTTTAAAACAGGGGGCCAGTTCACTGTCCCTCAGACGTTGGAGTCTCACTCTGTCACCCAGGCTGGAAGGCAGTGGCACGCTCCCGGCTACCGCAGCCTCAAACTGTTGGGCTCCGGTGATCCTTCCACCTCCACCTTCCAAGTAGCCAGAACTACAGGCGCGCGCTACTATACCCGGCTAGTTTTTGATTTATTGTAGAGATGAGGTCTTGCCAAGTTGCCCGGGTGGGTCTTGAACCCGCGGGCTCAGGCAATCCACTCACCTCGACCTTCCAAAGTGCTGGGATTACAGGCTGAGCCACCGAGCCCAACCTAAAGCTTTAATTTACTTAAAAAATCAATACAGTTAAAGGTGATGATAAATACGAGGTCTGACAATTAAGTTTGTGAACTTATCCTAGAAAAAGTGCTTCATACCTCATTGCTGAATATCACTATGGTCACCTTCGAAGCACTCCCCTTGGAAGCTATACACTGACACCAGCACCTAGTCTACTTGTGAAAGCAATTTTGGAACTCTTTTTCTGGAATGGCCATCAGAGCTGTCATTGTATTACCCTTGATGTCCTGAAAATTTCTTCCTTTCATTATTTCCTCCAGGTAAAGAAAAAAGTCATTAGGGGTCTGATCAGGTGAGTAGGGAGGGTGTTCCAATACAGCCATTTGTTTACTGGCTAAAAACTCCCTTATAGATAGTGCTGTGTGAGCTGGTGCACCGTGATGTAAGAGCTCCTTTGGGAACCTTTTTATTTTTATTTTTTTTTTTGAGTTGAAGTCTTACTCTGTCACCCAGGCTGAAGGGCAGTGGCACACTCCTGACCACCGCAACCTTGACCTGCTGGGCTTAGGTGATCCTTCTACCTCAGCCTTCCAAGTAGCTGGAACTACAGGCATGTGCTACCACGCCCAGCTAATTTTTTTATTTATTGTAGAGATGAGGTCTCACCAAGTTGCCTAGGCTGGTCTGGAACCTGTGGGCTTAGACAATCCTCTCACCTCGGCCTCCCAAAGTGCTGGGATTATAGGCGAGAGCCGCTGCACCTGGCTGTTTTGGGACCATTTTTACACACACCTTTGTCATGCCAAGATTTTCGGTTAAGATTTTCCTGTTTCTCTATCAATGTTTATTTGATCTGCTGTGTTTCTCACAGTCAGTAGACAAGTTTGACGCATAATTCAACAAATTTCTATAATGTTTTCATCAGTTCTGCTTGTGACTGGCCATCCTGACCTCTCTCCATGAGTAACGCTTTCTCTCCCCTCAGAAAAATGTTTAATCCATTTGTATGTTGCTGTTTTCTTCATTATCACCATAAACTTGGAATAACATACTTTGATTTCACTTCCACTCTAGCCAAGTTTAACAAGAAATTTAGTATTTGTTTGTTGCTCTAATTCAAGCTCTGACATTCTTGCAATGGCTCACAAAAACATGCAACAACAATAATGAACACCACTCAGCAAGACACTGCCACACGTGGACACAAACACAGCCATGAGACACTGATATACCAAGGTTATGAAACCTTACTGAGTTGTTTGTATGGTACAGCCAACGAAAGTGCATAGTGGCAAGTTTGCAAACTTAATTGTCAGTCCACATATACAGCTACAGAACATTTTTTGAGAACTTCTGTCTTATGGTAGTCTGTTACTTTAGCAGTCCCAGATGAACCATGCCTCTCAGTATTTGCACTATTGGAAATTCTCTCCTCTTGAATCCGGGCTGGCCTTGTGACTTGCTTTAATCAATAAAATGCATTGGAAGTGATGCTGTGCCAGTTCTGGTTCTATGCCTTAAGAAGTCCTGTTAGCTTCTGCTTTTGCAGTCAGGGGAAGCCAGCAGTTATGTTAGAAGTCTTCTCAGGATAGGCACAGTGGCTCAAACCTGTAATCCCAGCACTTTGGGAGACTGAAGTGAGAGGATTGCTTGAGCTCAGGGGTTTGAGACCAGCCTGGGCAACTTGGTGAGACCTCATCTCTACAGTAAATCAAAAAATAAGCTGGGTGTGGTGTCATGTACCTGTAGTTCCAGCTTTTTGGAAGGCTGAAGTGGAAGGATCACCTGAGCCCAGCAGTTCGAGGCTGTGATGGCCTGAGCATGTCTCTGCACTCCAGCCTGGGCGATGGAGTGAGACTCCAACTCAAAAAAAGAAAAAAAAAATGAAGGAATCTTCCTTCTCAGACTTCCATGCTGTGAAAAACAAACCTAACCACATGGAGGAACACCAAGGTCCAGGCTAACAGCCTCAGTTGAACTCCTAGCCAATAGTCAACACCAGCTTACCAGCCACGTGAAGGAGGCCATTTTAGAAGTAGATTCTCTAGCCCATTAGCGCCTCCCCAGATGACCCCATGTGGAGCTAAGAAAGGCTATGTCTGTCCTGCCCTGCCCAAGTTGCAAAATTATAGGCAAATAAATAACATGATTATGATTTTAAACCACTAACTTTTGGAGTACTTTGTTGTGCAGCAACAAATAGCTGAGAGGTACAGGCAAATCTCAGAGATGTAGGCTGGGTTCCAGACCACTGCAATGAAGTGAATATTGCAATAAAGTGAGTCACACAAGTTGTTTTATTTACCACTACAAAAAAATTATGTTTACACTATATTGCAGTCTCTTAAGTGTGCAATAGCATTGTGTCTAAAAGTACAGTGTACATACATTAATTTAAAAATATATGCCTGGGCTCGGTGGCTCAGTCTGTAATCTCGTGCCTTTGGGAGGCTGAGGTGAGTGGATTGCCTGAGCCCGTGGGTTCGAGACCCACCTGGGCAACTTGGCGAGACCTCATCTCTAAATAAATCAAAAATTAGTCGGGTGTGGTAGTGCGTGCCTGTAGTTCCAGCTACTTGGAAGGCTGAGGCGGAAGAATCGCCGGAGCCTAGCAGGCCAAGGCTGCGGTGGCTGGGAGCGCCCACTGCACTCCAGTCTGGGCGACGGAGCGAGACTCCAACTAAAAAAAAACAACAAAAACATAGTGAGAACCCATCTCTATTTAAAAAAACTAATGTAACTAAAAATATAACGAAAGATTTTTAGAAAGATTGCTTTGCTTTGGGAGGCAGAGGTGAGTAGATTGCCTGAGCCCGTAGGTTCGAGACCTGCCTGGGCAACTTGGTGACACCTTATCTCTACAATAAATCAAAAATCAGCTGGGCGTGGTAGCGCGCGCCTGTAGTTCCAGCTACTTGGAAGGCTGAGGCGGAAGGATCGCTGGAGCCCAGCAGGTCGAGGCTGTGGTGGCCGGGAGTGGCCACTGCACTCCAGTCTGGGTGACAGAGTGAGACTCCAACTCAAAAAAAAACAACAACCAAAAAACAGTTCATAGCATCTTCATCAGTAGAAACTTCATCTCAAGAAACCACTTTCTTTGCTCATCTATAAGAAGCAATTCTTCATTTATTAGAGGTTTATTATCAGATTGCAGTAATTCAGTCACATCTTCAGGTTCCACTTCTCTCTGTCTATCTCTCTCTCTCTCTCTCTCTCTCTCTCTCTCTCTCTCTCTCGCTCTCTCTCTCTCTCTCTCTCTCTCTCTCTCTCTTGCTCTCTCTCTCTTTTAGTCAGAGTCTCACTCTGTCACCCAGGCTGAAGTGCAGTGGCATGCTCACGGCCACTGCAATCTCAACTTGCTGGGCTCAGGAGATCCTTCCGCCTCAACCTTGCAAATAACTGGAACTACAGGCGCATGCCACCACGCCCAGCTAATTGATTTATCATAGAGCCGAAGTCTCTCCAAATTGCCCAGGCTGGTCTCTAATCCCTGGACTCAGGCAATTCTCTCACCTCAGCCTCCTAAAGGGCTGGGATTACAGGCTTGAGCCACTGTGCCCAGCCTTTCTCTCTCTCTTTTTTAAAAATCAGAATCCACTCTGTCTCCCAGGCTGGAGTACTGTGGCATGCTCATGGCCACCACAGCCTTGACCTGCTGGGCTCAGGCAATCCTTCTGCCTCAGCCTTCCCAGAAGCTGGAACTACGGGCATGCACCACCACGTCTGGCTAATTTTTAAAAAAATTTATTG